TTCCCTCTCTGAACATCATTGTTTGACTGAGATTGTCATACTGACAAAAACAAAAGGACAGTGCATATCTCTCACAGCTAAACAAGGAAATCAAGAACGTAGCTATTCTCTAAGTTTCTGTTTGGCTGCTAAAAATGTGCCACAATCTGTCATTTTATCAAAAGGCGTTGGCGTTGGAGAGAGGAAGCGTTTCTCATAGTTCCTTCAATCAGCACTCGCAGCAATATTGGACTAATATTGGAGCTAATGGTCTGTTTGATGAAGCGATAAGGTCCAGAGAAAGGAGTAGAAGGGAATAGCTGTAGTGCGAATGACAGTTCTGTTTAGTTTTGCTTTTATTGGCTGTTTGGTTTATGCAACAAAACAATTTCATTTAAGAAAAGATCATGGATTAGGTTAAAATACATCCATTCACAGCATTAACCCTCGCACACTTAAAGGCACTCTTTGCATTTTTAATGTAATGCTAAAGGACCCTTCACAAATTCCCCTACGCAGCGTTTCAGGAAGATTACTATTAGCTATTGAGTCACAGCACCAGTGTCACTGGATGCATTGTGCATATTTTTTTTACACAAGCGGCTTTGAAAAGTGTCATATTTGGCGCTGTTGGAGTGAGAGTGGGTTCATTTCCTTTGGTATGCGTTTAATAAGTTCTTAACATAAAGGTAATGGAAACGTCACATTAACATTTGATGCAAAATAACATTTCGTGTCCACGCCCTTCTCATTGCAAACCTCACATACCGAGCTGCTTTAATGTGGTAATAAATCTAAGCTGTTTGCATCAGTCATTTGGACTGCTGCTTTACGCATCGCATGGCATGTTCTTTTGCATATTCCATTTTCACTGTAAAATGTTCAATCAGATTTAATAGTCTATCTCTATGGTGATTAATGATAATTTTTAGATGGGTGTTGGATTTAATATGATTTCTCAAAGCTTTCATTTGCGATCACTTAAATTAGGTTGGCTTTTGTCTCTTTTGTCTCCTAAAATGCATAGTGAGTAGATGATGATTGTAAGAATCCACCTGATGCTCTTCACCACAAACATTTTTGCATCTAGTTATCTATCACGGAATAGTTCTTCCCTAAAATGTTCTTGGGAGTTATACAAGCATTTCTGCTGTGGTTTTTGCCTAATATATTCGATGTTTCAGATGTTTAGAGCTAGTGCAGGGTATTGATAGGGCCGTGAGCCACGCTGCGAGAATCTTTGTGTAGTTGTGTATATTTGTATGAAAGAAAGATTTGCAGAGTTTGGAGAATCCTCAGTTTTGAATTAGTCATTTTTCAGGCTGATTAAGAGGCAGGAGTCTGGCTGTAGGAGAGACAATGACAAGAGAGAATAGAGTCCTTCATCCTCCTTTGGTTTCTTGAGCAGAGGACTATAGAGGTTTTGTGTGTTTTGCTTATTACTCTGGAAATGAAATGACACAAAGAGTCAGAGTTTTAAGATTTAGAGGGTTTAATTCAAGGGTATTTTTCACACATCATTTGAACGGTAATGAGTCTCGCTATTTAAAGGTGCAGTTAGAGAGGTTTTTACTGCCACATAACACCAAAATGGCCCTTTCAACGATCTTACCTTGCAGCTTGACAGCGATGTTGTTTGTTATGAAGGCAACACAGATGTCAAAAGCTTTTCAAACTGACTTTTGACAACCCCCGTAATTCAAGATGTTTTTATACATTTCAGTGCAACTTAGCATAATAATAACTTTGATGTGAAAGGGGTGGTTTGTAGTGAAGATCAATTTATCAGGGCATCTGTCAGTGCACACAATATGCAAAAAAGTTGAACAGTTACAGATGTCCGGACTGCAAACGACAGATTAAAACCTTTAGCAATTAGCTCATTCACATAAAGCAACAATTACAGATAAATTTAGTGGACAGCAAACCAAACCCAAAAAGGAGTTCCCAAAAATAGTTGAGATGATGTGCAAAAAAACAATAAAAACAAACTGTGATGAAAATTTAAAATCATTAAAGTCTGAATTGAAAATAAAATGTAATAAAATAAAAGAAAAATAAACAATGTAGAATTTTATGTCGATCCTGGTACGCAGAGGTCAAGACCGAAGACCAGTATTGAATAGCCATCATCTGTATACCTCCAGGCTGCAATGCATTAAAACAAAACACAATTCTGTGGTAGAAATCAATGCATGGGCTCTAGAACCACTTCTGAAATCCAATGCCACCTTCTGTCTTCACATGCAAGTGGATACTTGTCTCTACCGTGCACAGAAACAAGCATATGTTAAGACAAAACTGGGCCAGAGGTTGGTAAAGATGAACTGAGGTGAAGCAGAAAACTGCCCCATGATCTCATGAATAAAAATATAAAAACAATTTTTGGAAATCATGAATGATGCACCCCTAAAAGAAAATTAAACTAGGCTCTCATATACATGTTTGCTTGTTAACAGTAAACAGCTCGATAGCTAGATCAGATTAGTGCACACAGCAAGGCCCCAATAATGCTGAGTGGTACACATTTGCAACAGCATAGTGTCATGCGGTGCAGAAAAGGACCCAAATGCAGGCTGCTGATCTAGAACATGATAAACAGAAAATCAGCCTTTATTCAGGTTGAGTAGTAAGACTGTGGAGGTCCAAAACAGAAAATCAACTGAAGGGTTCAAAAGGCTTAAGCAAAAGCACATAAGGCTTAGCAAACAGAGAGAACAAAACAAGTTTGGAACACAGGCAATCTGACAAAGGGAGACAGCAACGATTTATAAACATAAGGGTGACTGGGGCAGAATGGAGACGCCTGGGAAACTAGACACAGCTGGACTTAATCAGATAATGAAACATTGGTAGGAGAACGTAAAACATGGCCCAAGAGACATATGGCTATCAGCATAAAACAGGAAGTAATATGACACCAAGACAAAGACTTGACAACAAGATACAAGGAGACATCAAAGCGATGAAGCTAGCATGAATAACAAAAAATACAAAGCAACAACAACTAAGGACTAAACATTATGACCATGAACCTAATGCAAAATGAAGATACAGAATAAAAATACAAACTAGAATATAAAGAACAGGAAGTGACTAGAAATGATAAACCATATTAGACTGACAGAAGTGAAAAGAAAAAAAAACAGCTATAAGAACAGCAAAATTAGACAACTATAATCAACGAGAGAATTTAACAATAACCTAGTCCCAACAAACTAAAGCTTAGATTTCAAAATCCCAGAACCATGACAAATGGCTCTGTACTTTAGTAGAATCCAGGTGCAGACCTGCCACCTGTTGAAAACACCGCTTTCACTGAAATAAGAAATATGACAAAGAAAGCCCTGAAGTATTGAAAAGCTGAAATTTTACATCAAGCAAGAATAGGGAAATATTTTGCATTAGAAAGACGCATAAATATGCCTCAGACACAGCTTTTAGAAATTCGAATGAATGTTTTCAGCATTTGATATACTGTTTTTGTGCTATTTTCAAAATACATATAAAATTTTAACGTTTTGCAAAACACTGCTTCTTATTTTCTGTGTCCTAAACTTATGCAGAAATTTCACTGGCCTTTTTGCAGACTCACCAAATCGGTGCAGATTCAATAATTTGGCTACAAAATAAACATTACCATGTAGAAGCATTTACATAAAGATGGAAAACTGCACCTATTGAGCTGAGTTATGGAGTATAAACGTCCACCAAAGACCTAAAAACAGAGGAATTTTTTACAACCTTATAACAATTTTTCTGACTTTCCCATTTCCATTGCTGCTTACTCTTTTTTTTTTTCTTCAAAAATATGGTTCACTTTTTCTTTTTATTTATTTATTAATTTATTTCAAGCCAAGCTAAGAGAGACTGAATGGTCCACTTCTGCGTGTCACTCATCCAATGCATTAAACTGCATTGGGGTGGTGGGTGGTGGACAGTGCTGCTGGGTGGGGTTGTTTGGCACTGCTGGAAACATGGTGGACAGATATTGATGGATATTGTGGCGGTGTTAATCCCCCATCGTCTACCAACAATAAAGCACCGAATGATGGAATGGCGAAAGTATAGACAACTCTGACATGTCCCTCGCTCATGTACAAGTTTATGTCGAAACGGCACATCAAAGCAAATCCTCCAATTGTCTCACCTAATCTTTGAAAGAGCAGAGGGATGGATCAGCCTACTGAATGTCCCCGCACTGTGCCCACTATTGAAGACAGAAATAAAAGTATTTAAGTCTCTTGGAGACAAAAGCTATTGAGGATTGTGCCAAACTTGGTTCCTCATAACTATGAGTTGTTTTGAAAAACTTGATGAATATAGTTTGTCACGCTTTTTTTTAAATTATGAAACTATATGTATGTTTTCATTCATTCATTTGTGCATTCTACAGGTCCGATTTGGCCAATAAAGTAAAATTGATATTTGTATTGCTAAATATCCCCAATCAGTCATCAACTGTCATAATTTTAGTAGGTATATAACAGTTGCTCAAGGATCTGCAGGAATCAGCAGTAGAGGCATATTTATTTGATGATGAAGGTAAATATTTGGACCATGCCAGGACTTTGTTTATATGATTGTTCAAACTATGGCAGCTTCCCTTCCCTTGAAAATCTTGCATTGCTGCATCCATGCCAAGTACTATCCACTCCCAGTATCCCATTTTCTTCCTCTGGGACGTGGCATTCCTGCCAGTCATGTGCTATCAGTGAGACTGCAGGCACTTCTTGGGCCTGCCCAACTATCTTCCCCTCTCTGTCTCTGTCCTCACTCCACCCCTCTCCACAGTTGCTGTGTATCTCCCTTGACCACCTCGGTCCTTAGCGAGCACTCCACTCCACTTTTTTTTTTTAGCAATCCATTCATTCATCTGTCTAGGCTCTTCCTGTTTTCAACTTTCTTTATCTAAAAGTCCCTTCAGCTGATAGTTCATACTGGTACTTTTTGCTCTGTTTGTCTTGCCTCTAATCTCAAACCTCGCTCTGTGTCTCTTTTTTTCCCTCTCTCTCTGACAGGTGTAAAGAGGGCTACCATGGACTACGCTGTGACCAGTTTGTTCCCAAGACAGATGCTATCTTGTCAGATCCAAGTACGCTCCCTATTCTACCCTTTATTTTTCAGTCTTGGTGTATTGATCTGAAACATAAAAACAAATTCATAACAAGTGCACGCTACATGCCCTTGTGCAAATCTCTTACTGTACTATATTTATCAGTAAGACAAATTAGCCTTAGATTAACTGTTATCTGTTTAAGTCTGTTGGTCTTGTACAGTAATACTATGTGATTAAAGTATTGTGTGGGACTTTATATTGAAAAAACTAACATTTCCAATATGGTTCAGTCATTTTGAAGTATACAAATGCAGAGAACCTCCAGGCGCTCCTTAAGTTGACAAAGGTGGTCAAAGAAAAATGTTCAGCTTAGCGGGGTAAAAGGTTAAGATTCATGCTAAAGTTTTTCTGCTACGTGTGCATTGAAAATAAAAAAGCAAGGGTATTACGGCACTGAATTCATTCAATAAAGAAAAGATATTTTTTTCATTTACTTTAATATCTCCTACTATATCTACAGAGGTGATCACACATTGGATATTGTGTCAAACGTGGGGGTTTTCATTTAAATATTAATACAAGCAGTTATTACTGCAGTCAAAGATATTATTTAGTTACCGGGTAAAATGTGTATCCCGATAGATTTATTTTCATTGGCCTACATGAATGTCCCTCATATAGATGCATGAAAAATCCCTTGCATGTTTTATAATCATGCTTTTATTTAGCCTAAAGGAAGGAAAGTATTCACTTTCCTGGTGTTCGTGAAAAACTGTTCCCCTAAAGTGATGACAGCTGTGTGGTGTACTTAAAAAAAATAAATAAAGCAAAAGTCACAGGTACAAAGAAGAAAAACTGGAGGCCCAGAGCCGTTCCCGTGAGAGTGCAGTTTTACAAATTCACACTGTTTTATGGAGTGACTCGTCTCCTCCGCACCAAGAGTCAAAGAGAAAACTTAACTCCTATTGCCGTCTGTTTGATTCCATCAGGCCCGCTGAGAGTCCATTAATGGAGTCACAAGCCAGTGTCACAAAGCTTGTTTTATGCTCTCGCATGGCACACAGTTTTCACACTGGGATTTGTTTTATGTTCTATAGGCAGACATTAATTTTCCAGCGTGTCCAGCTCAAGAGATTTTTATGATGCTATTTAAAATAAGCCGAATTCTACTGTGCTTTGGATAAAAACGGACTCTCAAACAAACCAGTGAATTACAACACAGCCGTGGTACTTGTAGATTTATTGAAATATATAAGACAATATGCCTCAGAAGGCAAAATATGAAACAAAAAGGTGAAGTTTTTACACCGTATCGTTCAGAAGACAAAAACTTACATTTCAGGGGCGAGCATCTTTTACAGTGGCTATAGGTAGACCTATAAATCAGTTTAATTAGCATGAGGGAAGCACAACACTTCAGAGCAAGGATCTCCCAGGCTGTGGAAGCAATCCCTGAGCTGTTAAGCTGTTAAGGAGTTGCTGCTCTTACTGTAACAGTTTCACTGTGTCATTCAGTCAGGAGTCAACCAGCAACAATAAGCAACCTAGAGAACTGCCCCCATCTGATAACACAAAATTAAGCTCACACAAATGACCACATTTGGATTTTTATGAAATCAGCAAAATATTTATCAACAATTCTGTCAAAAATACAGTTTAGAAATATTTATCGCTTAAAGGTGGTAAATTAATTCATATCTAATTTGACTTACCTCTAATACGTGCATTCATTACATTTGTGATAAAGTGCCTTGCATTGATAGAAATGTTTGATTTCTTGCAATGCGAACGGTACTTTTGTCCAACCTGATCATATAAATGATGTTGTTACTTCATAAACAGACGACAGACATGAACAGGGCCCCGCCGATGGATCTGATTGATCACCATTCTTGTTCAGAGCCACGTTCACCTGTTTGTTTACATCGTCAGCTAGGTATCCTAGCATTACATGCTAGGCTGTAATGCGGAAAAGACTGATGAGCAGTTTAAGAGAAAATTGCCTCTTGCAACTGTCATCACTTGCACCCCATCACTTAAATAAATCCATTACCTCGTGTTGCAGGGTTTGGCACAATTTTGTTTCTCCTATATCTGAACCACGAGCCACATGCTCCTCCATGTTTGGCTGTACGACTGCTTTCATAATAACTACTAACATTTTTAGTAGTTTTTTTTTCAGGTCTGTGCTGTGCTTGATTGCACCAGCTGTTGACCTATTGAAGATTTGTAAGCTACACTCACTGGCCACTTTATTAGGTATAGCATGCTAATGTGGTGGCATTGACTCGACAAGGTGTGCGAAACATTCCTCTGAGATTTTGCTCCATATTGACATGACAGTGTCACGGAGTTGCTGCAGATTTGTAGGCTGTTCAGTCATGATGTGAATCTCCTGTTCTATCACATCCCAAAGTTAGACTGAGCTCTGGTAACTGTGTGAGTACACTGAACTCATGTCATGTCTCTTTTAATGTTCAAGAGACCAGTTTGAGATGATTTGAGGTTTGTGACATTCTGCTGCAAAGAGCCATCAGAAGACTGTGGTCACAAAGAGATAAACATTGTCAGCAGCATTTAAAAGAGGCTCATATCATACTGAGGGGCCCAAAGTGTGTCAAGAAAATATTCCCCCTTACACCAACAGCAGCCAGAGCTGTTGATACAAGGCAGGATTAATCCAAGCGTGAAGCTTTTATGTTGTTTATGCCAAATTCCGACTTTCTCATCCAAATGTTGCAGCCAACTTCAAGACTCATCAGACCAGACAAGGTTTTTCCAGTCCTGTATCATCTAATTTTAGTGAGCCTTCACAAATTATAACCTCTGTTTCCTGTTTTTACATGACAAGAGGAGTAGGAGCGCTACGGTGCGGTCTTCTGCTGTTTTAGCCCATTTGTTTCAAGGGTCAATATGTTTTGTGTTCAGAGATCTACTTCAGCATACTCTAGTCACAATGAGTGGTTATTTGACTTAATGTTGTCTGAGTTTGAAGAAGTCCAGCCATTCTCCTCTGACCTCTGGCATCAATGAGACATTTTTACCCAGAAAAGTTGCCGCTCAGTGGGAAGTTTTTCTTTATCAGACCATTCTCTGTAAACTCTAAAGATGGTTGTGTGGTAATATCCCAATAGATCAGCAGTTTCTGAAATACTCAAACAGGTTTGGCACAACAACCATGCTGTCACTTAACTCACCTTCCCCATTCTGATGTTCTGATTGAACTTCAGCAGGTCATCTTGACCATGTCTACATGCCTATATGAGTTGCTGCCACCTGATTGGCTGATTAGATATTTGTGTTGACAAGCAGTTGAACAGATATACCTAAAAAAAGTGGCCAGTGAGTGTAAATAGGCTAATGGCAGGTTCAAGATAAAGGGCTAATCAGCTAAAGACTAACCTACCAGGAAAATTACTGATCTTTCTGGTGGTCAGTCCACCCCCATTCATCTTGTGAACCCTTTAGACAAATGTATTAGCCATTAGCAAGCTGGCGTCAATGTTTATTAGATGTGGACAATGGGCCAAAAGCCTTTTTATTTTTTTCCTTCTCACACTGAATGCACTGTTCAGAGGCTTCCAATCTACAAATAGAAATGATCAGAGGAGTGCTGGAAGAGCTTTATATATCAGGGAGTATGGAAAATCAAAAAATTGCTTAGCGTTTTTAATCAGAATGCTTCTCTTGTGCTGGAAAATAGAATCAATAAAATGCTCTGTACAAACAAGCTACTGAAGAAATCTTCAGTAGTAGGTTAAGACGGTGCACCGAGTACACCCCTGACCTTCACAAGAAAAAGAAAAAAAAAAAGAAACTGACAGCTTTATTGTGAATTTGTCTTGCATAACCTCTCAATGGCCACAACAGTTAACCACAGAAAACAGCTTCCAGTGACCGTGACCAATAACACAGGAAGATTTGAGAGTCGGAGGGGAATGGAGCCTAGTTTTGATCTATGTTGATACACACTCATCTAAAATTTACCCAGATTACCAAGGGTTTGGAGGATTATCCTGCCTCCAAAATCCAAATCACGTAATAACATACAGCACAAACATACATGCATATACCAACAACAGCTAAATCTTAAGCGCTGATGAAATTCAGCGTGTGTACAAATAAGCAACTGTAGTTTTTTTGCCGGGCCATGCCACGCTTTTCTGCTTTGAGCTTTCATTTTGGATCAATATCTGAGCACCTTACAGTCACAAATCATTTCTTGCCCCTTATCCTTTTTCTTCGTATCGACTGGTAAAATACTCAAAAGAGCAGTTTGGACCACAGTGCCGCTCAGTCACTCACTCATTCACACGTCCTCACAGAAGTAGATAGAGAATCACAGGCGAAGGCGTGTTAGAGTTTAATCAAATTTTAATTTCAATTATGATTTTTGGCTCCACTGATTATGAAAACAAGGTAATTGAGATAAAGCGATTATCATGCGTCAGTCGTTATCACAATAGTGCTGTGGCCCCTCCCTGAAAGCCCAGACCTGCTCCTTGTTTAATTCAGTTCCAGGCAACATGGCAAAAAAAGGAGTCTTGGGTCAACAAGATCTATTGAGACGAAGTAATAGTCAGAATACACTTGTGTCACTCAGCCCTCACTCGATCTCTGCTTGTGACTTTTGTGCAGGTCTGTCAGGTCACATAACAAAATTGCCTCGTGGACATGTTGTTGCCACTGTCTGCACCCACAAAACTCCCATGATGGAGACTACAGTTAACAGGGACTTTTTAAAAATTATTTTTATTACTTAAATTATATACATTGATAAAGGAAAAATAATCCAGTGTAAAAAAAAGAAAAAGTAAATGTAGTAGTAAGTAATCTCGCTATTAATCAAAATAATCACAATATTGATTTTTTTTTTTTCTACAACCGAGTCCATCCTGCACATGACAGAACCACATGGACTAAAAGAATTAAGTCCTCTCTGTAACACTCGAGCTGTACTGCAGTGAACTCAGCTTTGGAAATAATGCTGGAGTTTAACATATTGGTGCACAGGGGAAGTGGTGGAGTCTTTAAGTGGAGCGATGGCAGAGTAGGAAGGTAGCAATTTAGTTTATAACTGCTTGAGGATGTGGATTGAGTTTCTTTTTTAACCATGAAAAAGTTTAGAGCATCCCACTAATAGTGTTCAGTTGGGCAAGTCGCACTTCTGAGACTACAGAGGGGATATTTCGGTAGAAGACTGAAGAGGAGGCGGAGGAAAGATGGGCCTTTTTGGTTTTTACCCGGTTTACTCACAAAGAGGAAGGAGGCAATCCTCTAATTTGAACTATTGATCTTCTGTAGATATTATGCCTGGAGTAAGTAGCTACACAGGATATCGAATTCAATAACAGACACAGACACACATTGACTCTGCAGTTCCCTTCTCACCCAAGTGAGGGAGGGGATTAAGGATTTGATTCACTCCTGCCATTGTCTCTCCCACCAGCCAGATTCCTGCCTCTTAATCGGGCCAAAAGCATCTGACATGATGCACAGGTATTCTCCAAGCTTGCTCAAGGCTCCCATAAGATGCCGTGAATGATTCCCCCGGGTGCTTCGAGTTGCCAGTGCGAAGGATTGGGAGCCTGCACATATTATGATTGGTGAATGTCTCCAGACAAGGCAATGCCAGAGGAAGGGATGTGTATCAGAGTTGTAATGACATCATCTGCACAGGCTATGACAGTCAGGGCGATTTAGAGTGGAGAAGGGTTGGCTGTTGCCATGGGCAATCACAGGAAAAGGCTTGAATGTATAATACAGATCAAGTAACGTCAGAAAGATGCTGCATTCATTTTTTTTTTTTTTTAAGGAGGGCGAGTCAGAAAAGTGTAAAAAAAAAAAAGTAAGAAAAGTGGTAGCCATATCTTGATTTCACAGTTATATCTCCGAACTCTTTGTGGCAACAAGCATAAAGTCCCCCAGTCAGAAGTGATTGGCTCTTAACTGTTTAATCATTGGTTTGCAAGGTTGCTATGAGACTGACTATGATTCAGAAGGAGCGTATAATAAATGTTGGCATGTAAAATAATCCTCGAGGCTGCAAGAGGAAAATGCAGACCCTGCATTCTGCTCAACAACAACACAATGACACCTGCAGCCTGTCTAAATACAAACATAAACTCATTTGTTCATTGATTAATTTGGGAATCTCAGACCTGCTTTTCCAGGCTGTTTTTTCTTGTTATCTCTGTGATCATGAAAATCCCTTAGGCTCATTAAGAACCTGTCAAGCAATCTTAGAGCAAATAGCATAATTTGACTTAAGCACTTATCATACCATTTTCAAGTCCAAATGCCCTCCGAAGCATTCCCTTTATGCAATGTAGGGAGGGTCCTGTTTTTTAATCGTTTACATTCCACCTCTTAATAAGGCAGCACAGTTTATTTTAATCCATTCACCTAAATGCTTGGATCTCACTCCTGTCACGCTGTGTTTTTATTTTTCCGTAAATAAAAGCCATGGCAATGACAGAATTTTTCCCGTGGCACAATCAAAATGCTTTTTTCCCCCTATTTTATAGACATTTTTTTAGAGGTTCCAACACATAATCTGTCAGGGCTTGGCAAGCCATCTTCTATTTAAAACTAAGACCACCTCTGTCAGAAAAGCAATTACTAGTGAGGGTTTCATTTTAATTTAAATAAGATTACATTACAGTGACATGAAAAGGGGGCACTGCCAGGATGGAAAGAACACGAGTGCTCCTTTTTATCTGTTTTCCCCAGCGCTGGGATTGTGGGAAAAGACATAGCTGAATGAAGAAAGACTGTGTGTCTTTGGAGGAGAGTGAAAGAGAGGGTGAATGTCAAAGTGTGTGCCTGTGCAGAAAAGACCAAAAACACGTGCAAGCTTATACCATATTGTGTGGGTACACATGCATTTGAGCGTGTGTGTGTGTTAGAGTGACGCATCCTAAAGCAACCAGATTGTGAATAGTGAAAAGCTATGCTTGCAGACAGAAGAGGACAATTACTGCAATGCCTCAGGCTCAAATCAATATAAAAGGCCTGTGCAAAGCAACATCAATGACATAAAGCCACATGATATGTCATTTCCAACTTTATTTTCATGATCCTTCCTCTAATCCTCTCAGCCCCCACATCTGCGTTGTTTTCTTGCTTCAATCAAAGCCACTGCAAGCTGTGTGAGTATCACGGAAAAGCATTCCAAGCATCCGAGGCTGGCTGGCTCATTACCTGGTACAAAAGAGGAAGCCGTGTTAGAAAAAGCCAGCAAAGCCAACTGTACCGTGTAGTTGCACCAAGTGTCTCACCCCTAAGGTGAATTCTGAGAAAAAAAAAACTGAAGCGCATCATGTTGTAATTATTTTATGCTCTGTCTCTCTCTCTTTTCCCCACCCTCATTTCTCATGCTATCCCGCCTTGAATGGAACAGCGGATGAACTTGGGATCGAGTTCATGGGTAAGACAACTTTTCATTGACTGTGCCGAGTGCTCAATCTTTCCGTGTGCCTCACGTCTGTGAAATACTGCATACAAAACACACACAACCAGCACAACAAGGCCGCTCACCTTGGAAAATTAATGTGGGCTAGTCGCCATGGAAACACCGTGGTGGTGAATTAGGTGTATTCTGTCTGCATGAAGAACAGTACCGTTAGAGAGGAGTGATGTAATGAGTATGGAGCAAAGAAAGCGATTCATGTACTGTATAAATCCGTGTCTACTTGCCTACTGTGTACTATGTGAAAATTTCATATCTCGGTAGCGATGTCCAAAATGATCGCGGTTTCCATGAAGTTAGTCGAAATGTTCAAGAAGCAAATAATATCACCAAGTTCTATTTTGACAAAAATATTCCAAGTTGAATCTGCAGTTTTGATTTGCAGATTTACATAATACATTTGGTTTTCTGTACTTGTTGTGTTTGAATATAAGACACAGCTCTATGTATAATTCACTAAGTCTTAAGCAGATAGTAAAACAAGAAGCCCAACAACAGAAAAGTCTTGTATAGAAGCTTACAGCGTTCTGAATTGTGCGATGCTTATAATGAACAAAATATTTTGTTTGCATGACTGAACTGACACATATGCAGTGGACGGATAGTTTTCAGACACACAGCAGCATCTACAACAACAGCAACAACAGTGTGTTACTGACAAGCTGTTAAGTAGCTACAAAGACAAAAGGCCCTTACATTATGAAGTTAATGATTACTAAAATTTAGTAGTCGTTCTGTAGAAAGTTAAAATTGAACTTACCCTCATTTTAAAAGTAGAAGCAATTTAGTTTCTATTCTTCAGATAGTGTTGACCATGTTCAAGCAAGTCTCCGTCAGTACTCTTAAAGGTACAATGTGTAAAATCTCACAACTGGATGTCAGTAGATCACAGATTGCAGTCATTTGAATTCAGTTTTTTTTTACCTCTTCCAATTCAAGCACCTAGCCATAACCCTAACTACGGTGGCCCCTTTAGGCCAAACACATTTTAGTTAGCTAAGAGAGATTAGAAATGTCAAATTTAGACTGCACTCGATAACTGCTTTGGCCAGCATGTTTTAACATATTTGAATATTAACACTTGAATAAACCACAAATAAAATATTTTGTTGTATTTTACATTTTTACTGCTGAGTCACTTCCAAACCTCTGGCTGCCGTTCATCTGCAGTGAGTGTAGGTTGTCAGTATGCTGTTAACCTCAGCTATCAATAGCCCGAGCATTCACATCTACTCACTGATATGGTTCGATGAGTCGGTGTAGGTCACTTCTGTCCAGTGACAGTAATAGTGAGGTGAGTTGTTAAAGATATCCTGAAGTTTTCTTTCAGTAGGCACTGCTGTTTTTCCTGGCCATCTCAACCCAGTGTATATGTAATGGGTTAATCCAAACTTTATGTGAATGTATCATTTTGTTAGAGAACATAATTACAGACTAATCAATGTGTATTCATGAGTACATTATTCTTTTTTTAGATTAAATAACCTAAAACCAAACCAAGTTCAATTAGGAGGCTGAGCCTTTTTCTGGTGTAGATGTTTAGTCAAGTTTAACAATAGGATCTAAAGTATAATATAAAATATAAAAATCCACAGAAGGTCAAATACTGAAATGAGAAGCAGTGCATATAGATTTTTTTTTAATTCTCTGGATTTTCATTGGAGTTACTTTAGGTACTTCTCTACTTTCCTACAGACTGTCAACAAACTAAGAGAAAAAAAACAAGGGAGGCGAGAGACAGTCTCATCACCCCAGACTACACACACATACACTGCAACACCGTTTTTCATTTTCTCTTTTCCCATCTTTTTTTCCACTTTCTGCCTTGCTTTTGTGCATACATAAAAACTAACACTGCATGCTATGAAGTTTTCCATTAACATGGCTTCATACACTGCTGTCACATCACACATTAGCTCCGGGAAATAGAGGGAGGGAGAGGATGTATGCCCTGCAAACAGCATTCCTCACTTCAGTAACTTTAATCTGGGGGACTAAATTAGTTCAGAATGCTACTGGAGGTGGGCGGATGCATTAGAGAAAATGAGAGCAGGACTGATCAATTGATAGCCGGACAGGTGACAGACAGAGGTACAGATAGGATTATTATTATTTTTTTTGGTTGGGTTTCTTATTCATTGTGTTCCATCATGAGTTCGTCTTTTCTTTATCAATGAATTGTTTGATAGCTTGTTATATAAGTCTGATATGTGACAGTCTGAGACAGCCTGTCAGACTACAGCAAAGCTCCGTTTGAAGTAGAATTGAGCACTCTAAAAGTAATCTTGTCTTTTGATTTTCTTGCTTTTTTTTTTTTAGCCCAGCAACTGAAGCTCTTTGTGACTCAGAATAGTTGACTCTGATGTTTTGCAGGCTGAATACCCCATTTTCTCATGGATTCTTTAGCATGAACTTCATTATAGCACGTTATTCTTGTCAAGTGTAGAGTGCATCGCTGGCATAGCGGCCATATGGGATTGTCTTGTCTTTGAGTCAAAATTACACGGCTTAGCCAATATAGCTAAGACTCTTCACTTTGGTGGGGTTCTTTTATAACGTGCTGTTGCATCTAATTTCAAGAATGCCTTGTAGGCATCTGGCATGAAAGGCCTGTAATGGTTTTATATACAGACTGCATGTCGGTTTTCCTTGCAGCCATTCAGCAGAGCTTTGTAGACAGCTGTTTTTATGTTCACATTATGGAAAAGCCTTTTTCATCCCTCAAAAAAAAAAGGGGGGGGGGGGGGAAGGCAAAGGCCTGTCTCAGGTGGTGCTCCACATGAGCACTGATAATGCAGGAGCAGGAAAAAGTGTTTTCAATATCTTTCAGATATGCAACCATGCAGAGGTCATTTCACTGATGGTAAAGGCTGGAGGCTTTACAGGGACATGGATTTCCAAGTGGCACATTACTTATAAACAAAGAAAAAAGCCAACTTTTACTGAGCAGCTGCAGGACATTTCTCCTCTTCTACCTGCACAGCAATAAACAAACACATTTTTTTTTAAATCCCTTTAAAATTATAGGATAGAAGCAGACTATACAATTCAGTAATTCAGGAGCTTATATTGGGTTTTTTCATATATATACATAGTTATATTTGCGTCATTACACAGTATATTGTCGATTGACTATTTTTTCCAACTCAATAATTTCTCACTTCAGAACATTTATTGTTTTAACAGTAAAAAATGTGATCCAGCCTAACCAAGCTAACCCCCACTATTTATTGGTTGACCGTATTAAATAAGCAATCATGTGCCACAGCAGGCCACTCCTGCAGCATTTCTATGGATCACTTCTATATTTAATTCATCCTGCTTCCCTTCTATGGGAGCTGAGTGGGTAGTTTGGACCTCCAATGTTTATATATATATTCACATACTGTCACTCCAGGATATGTTCAGATTTTATCTTTATCTGTTGCCAGAAGCACTCTAATTTTAAAAAGGTTTCTCTCCTGTTTGAACTCAGTTACATCATACTATCAAAAATTGTGTTGATGCAGCACTGATGTAATGCAGAGGAAGAAAGCGGTGGGGCGAGGGAAAAAAAACGGTGCAAAACAGAACGCATAGTTGCACTCAAACGTTAGCTTTGAACAAAAACGCTCTCCAGCAGTATCTGCCCTCAAAAACAAGAGTTGAGGGAAGTTGATAAACCTGGACCGACAAGCACGGCTCAAGAAGACCTCCCAGGACAGTTCTCTGTTGACAACATCAAAAGCCACAGACAAGCCCTTAAAGGTCAGGAGCAGGTTGCGGTGATGTTCTCTGCACTTTCCCCTGCAGTTGTCAAGGTAGTAAAATCAGACACAGGGGGATTTGTTGTTTTTGAGTGATCAAGTAATGCCACAGGACGTTGCCCGTAAGGTCATGGATGCTGGTGGATCAGAGAAGTGTCTCAAACTCTCAGCGACTTTTGTGGATTAGTGATATGAGTTGCTGGTTATGGATTGTGCTCATTTTGATCATGAGATAGTATTGTCATGAGAGTTTCTGCTAAGCCAGTGGGTGCGTGCCCTTGAACTCCACACCGTGCACCGTGCTAAGTATTTCAGCGCCACAATCCAGTTGCTCAGTGAGACAGATATTTGCTGGGATCAACTACAACTTGTCCCAGCTGCTTGTGACCTTAAGCCTCTGCCGCTGACGTGCAGGGGTCTGACAAGAAGCTCCGGGAGCATTCATTTGCTGCTAATTTCCTGTCGCCATCAGTCTCTGAATGCTGACACATATGCAACCCTTGCATGCACGTACACACCAAGTGCTGGTCCTGCTGTGCAGACAGTCCATCGGTCCCTGCTGGGTTTGTCTGAACGAAATGATTATCACACTTCAGTTAGCACGTCACTGAGCCCTGCCTGTGTCTGCCATGTCCCTATCTCTTCCTCAAACAGTGACATTTACTGACAGCAGCATTGGTCGCTTTATGCAAATGCAGATTGTGGGCAGATGTCTGCGCGCGGTTTCGAGTGTATGTCATTCCACCCTTTATGTGTATTTGGTATGTTAATTCATCATGATCCATCTCTTCCTCTCAGCTCAATCGCAACCATAGTCCATATCGTTTATGTCACAGCAGAAATTCATTGGACTGAACTGTATTCTCTCCTCCACAGAGAGTGGTGAAACCTACCAGAGGCAGGTGCTGTCCATCTTCAGCATTGCCTCGGGGATCTGTCTTCTTGGAGTGGCATGTATGGCTCTCTACCGCCACAACAAGTGAGTGATGCCAGCGAGAACCACATTAGTAGCGTATGCCCCCGGCTGTGCAGAAAGAGCACTTTACTATCATGGCATGGAGCCCAATGAAATTCTAAGTGTGAGTCAGCTAGAGGATGTTTTAGCAAGGCAACAAATCTAAATAGTGTAGGATGCATTTGGGACAGATACTCATGTAAGATTTATTTGAAAGTGGTTTTAGCAAGCAGGTGTGTCACAAAATGCTTCACACAAAACAAAATACTCAGATATGGCAAGAGACAGACCAAGTTCAAGTACAGTAGACCCTAAGTGCACGTGTACATGTGTGTGACAAGATAAGAGGGTTTCCTGGTGGCTCAGAAGCAGACCACCAAAGTCAATTATGCATGGCACCAAAGAAGAAGGAAAAAGAAAGCAGAGGGAAAGAACTGGAAGAGTGTGTGTATGTATATTCATTCAGTAGGAGTGAATGAATGCTGTGCTGGCTAAATTAAGCTTGCTAAACAAAAACAAAAAAGGTGGTTTTATTTTTGAGTAGTGTAGTGCCCTGAGCAGTGCAGCACATATTGGTCAACATGAACAGATAGTCCTGGCTCACAGATAGAATTAATGTACTGAAAATTATCCAAAATCACAAGTCCTGTGATAATAAGTATCTTTCCTTCAAAAAAAATAGCTGTGCGCCAGGCTACCGTGGATAAATAGCTTTTCAAACTCCGTGGTTGTTTTTCCTCTCAAGAAAAAATGCGAAATTTTGTTTGTATCAGTACTTCTCAGAAAAGATTAGTAAAGTTTTCAGAAAGGTTGCTTTTAGGTGGTATAACTTCATTATTATTATTTATTAGAGTGGGTTCCTGCAGCACGTTTTAATCCCTCCAAGCCATTAGGTGGTTAGATTATAGTTTGTTAACCCTGTAAACCAATGCAATGATTTGTTGCTTTCCACATTTTTAAAAAGTTTTTTTTTTACTTCTCGCCATCATCCTTTATGCAGGAAACACTTAATGAGTCTCAGCTGCAGACAGAATTTTGCATTCTAGAATTTAAAAATGAACATTTAATGGTGAATTAAAATTTAATCCAAAAGTCTTAGGCAGCAATTAAATTTTAATGCAATCAAATTTTAATCCGAAATGAAAGAACGGTATCATCTTTTTTCCTTTTTTTAAAAAAATTTATCATAGCAGAAGAATTTGACTTTTTTTTGTCACGTTTTGCTGTTTCATTTTTTGTGTGTATGTGTGGTAAAGAGAAAAGACAGAGTATGTAAAAATGTGGCAGAACAACTAAAATTAAGTAGTTTAAGAAAAGTGGAATGTCTGCTCATGTCAGCAAACTTGACTTTACTTCAATTCCTTAGGTTATATCTGTTCCCACTGCTATAACTTAAGGCTTCTTGCTGTATGTATGGATATCACTGCATGTGAATTCTCCCTCTCTCCCCGCAAAGATGAGAGAATCCAAACTTTGGCTTTCATAGTAAATCAATAAAACCTTTGTATTTATCGCTTTTACTTTAACTTTCCTTGATTAAATTCATGTAGTTTTAAATTTTATTTTCATGCATTTTTTGTTCATTTTAAAGCTATTTTTGTGGCGCACATTTACCACCTTAAGTTTCACCTCGGAAAAGTAATCACAGTTGAACGCTGAATGTCACTTTCAGCTATGGTTTGTTCCAGAAATGTTAAATTTCACCGTTTTAAAAACCTCAAACTGTCAAAGGATGTTTTATCGCTGCATAACAAAAAATGCATATATTAGTTCATCGTCACAATTCGCACATATGTGTGTGTCTGTCTTCAGTGAGTAGATGTGAAATTCATTGACAGGGCCTATCTTGTCTACTATGTGTGATCTGTAAGTGAGTCTCAGAAATAAATGGTAACAAGTCAATAAATGTAACAACGTTGCCATTAGATGCGTGTGAAGAATATGACCTAAAAAGAAACCGTTATTAAACTGTGTAACAACGAAAAAGAAGAATGAATCTTCAGCAGAGCAAATGCAGCTATTGTAGGGAGGTTTTTTCTGCCTCATAGAAATCCCTTTGTTTTCCTAATTGCATGCTGTATTGTCATCAGTCTATCCATTGTTCTGGATTATTTCTTTAGTTTTGTTGTAGACTTACATTTGTTCTCCCTTTTTCACCGGCACATTTCCTCCACAGGAGACACAGGGAGAAACTCCAGGCTCATTTCTCCGACAGCCGCAGCCTCAGAGACTGTACCGTCAATGCCTCCGGCCTCATGTCCAAATCTACCCCCAGACTTCAATACAGCCTTCAGCTCCAAAAGGTGCGTCTTTATCAATGATGTATTTATTCATTTCCAGTCACACCCTAATCATCATTGTCACCATCTTCTTCTTTATATATACAGTACTTCATATACACATTATAGTCTTTTGAGTTCCTGACAGGATGATTTATGATCTAAAATACGTCTTAATAATCTCTCTACTGGCTCGAGTCTTTTGTTCACACTCGTATCTGACATAGGCTGAGAGGCAGTGGGGAATTATAGCTTAAAATAAATGCATCACACATTACAGAGGAAAAATCTGCCTGCCATGTTCACTGTGACAGATTCCTGTGACAAACTGCAGAGTAGAAATTATAATCTGTTTTGGTGTCAAGGATCCTGAATTCTAAAGAAATCCAGCAGAACTTTATTGATAGCTAAATGTGATTGTGCTTGTGCATATTCATTTTAGTAATATCACAAATAACATTTTAAAGTGATTGGTTTGAAGCCGGCTGCTAAACTTTAAATTTTGAGTTAGTTAGACATTCCTCGAAAACCAATGCTTTCCAGAAACAACCACATACAGCAATAATAACAAATACAATCTACGACTGCATGCATAATACTCTCAATAGCCTAACAGGGCTTACACTGATTGATTGATTGCTTTCCTATTATCCCTCTCCACATGCACTTACATCGTGACGTCAGACACATACTGTATACTGATGTTGAAGGAGTAGAAGTGCTCCACTTTAAAGTGGAGCAAATCAAATCAAGGAAAGGTAGAAAATGTCAGAAGTGACAAAGCTCAAAATATTTAACTTAGTAAGCAGTAACTATGAACATTGTTTTACGGTGTACAAGGATACAGTACTGTGCATAATTCTACCACCAATATTCTGTCCAGGTCTTGTGTAATTTGGCATAATACACCTTTTTTTCCTGGTTTCTCTTCCTTAAGAATGGCTTCTCGACAGCCATGCATCAAGATCATTTCAGTGAACAGTAAATGGAACAAGTAAAGGGCCAGATGCCTCTCTCAGGTCCTATATAAGGTCGTTGGAGTTTTTCCTTAAGTACATGACCTTTAGATGCTGTTTATCTGCTGTAGATCATTTTTAGGCCTGCCACTTCTTCTTTTGTCAGCCTCTTGTCCAGTTTCCTCGTTTTTTAAAAGGACACACTGCACACCATGCCCAGATATGCCAGGTATTTGGCTAACAGACCTTTGGGAATCACATTATTTGTGCAAAACTCCTATTTTGTGCCTGCCAAACTGTTATCTTTGGCATTTTTGTCGATTCAACCAAAGAAAGCGGGTGTTCTTTTTGACAGGCTCCTAGTAAAAAGTGCATAGAGATAAAATTTAAAAATGTATATTTGCTAAGTCGGCTGTTATGAGTGGACACAACACAGGTTCATTCCTTAAGTTAGGTGCATTTTTTTATGCTTGAATGATTTATATGTCAGTGTTAATTGGCTTTACAAATAAACAAACGGACAAAGAAAGATTCCTCTGGGAATGATCAGGCACGAGAACTGAAGTGGAAACAAGTTAAAAAGCAGCTAATGATGAAAGGAAAACCTCGGAAAGCATGCAGAACAATTGCAATTTCAACCAAGCATCACTCCGTTGAAGCAAAATATAAAGAAATGATAGGTGGCTCGAGACTTTTTCACAGCACTGTACATTAGACATAAGTCATGTAAGTTCAGGCCAGTTGTTTTCCCTGGCTAAATAAGGTAACTGTTGTATATGGTGATGATGGTTACATATGGGATTGGTGCTTTTTGATGTATACATGTATATATCTTATCAGTTATGCAGAATCTCAATTTTGGTGGTTAGCATGAATGTATGCACTTAAATGTCTAGTCCTGAGTCCCATCGGCTATGGACTAAAAATTGAGGGGAAAAAAAAGTTGTGGAGGGGAATAGAGAATTTAACAATAGACACATTTGTTGGCTTTCACCATATTTGCTGGTAAACTAGTATGTTTGATGTGTTGCTGGACTTAAATCAAACTAAAATTAAAATTAAGTAAAATATTATGAAACGTCTGGTTACTTTCACTTTCACTGGCTGCTGTTTTTTTTATATATCAGAGCAGGATTCTTTTAATTTGCAAAACACAGGTTATAGCTGCTCTGCCAGACATTTCTTCCTTCACAATTATTCCATTCTGGTGGTTAAAAAAATAAGTGAGTGATAACAATTTTAGTTATTGCAGTTCTACACTTTTGGGCACTTTTATTGGCAATTTTTATTTATTTGCCAATAAAAAGTTTGTGAAACTTGTGAATTGTGGTTGTGATTGTTCTTCACTATGTAATATAAACATTAAAAAAAGATCTAAATAAAACTGAAGCAGCAAAGGGCACAAAAACAACAACTTTGTGCCACTGCCAAATGGCAGAAACACGGTGCTATTATAATCAAAATGCCAAGTTAAAGTACTGCATTATCATAACTATTAACAACAACAACAAAATACGCAAAAAGATTTACCTCAATTATACATAACAGGCTAAATAAATAAGATTTTGGGTGTTTTACATTTACCTAAAAATGACTCTTTTGATAGTAAAAGTCCCCAGCCAATGAAGTTGATCTACATAGTAAACGTTGCTGGAATTCTGACCTCTTTAAATAGAAGAATGTAAAGTTGTGCCCATACTCTGGATCATGAATCCTGAATTCAACATCCAAGCACAGCAGCACAGTCATAATCCACAATGAGCACAAAACTGTACATTACAGCAGGTTCATGTGTTTAAAAAGTTGGATTTTGCAAATTTGAACTACATAACCCTCAACCAACTCAAAAACTGAAGGAGACTAATATTATGTAATCATTTATCAACTAATAAACACATAGCATCAGCTCTAGGAAGAAAATTTCATCCAGGCGGGCAAATAATTCTTGGTTAAGAAAAAAAATGGCAAACCATAGAAGAAAAAGTGGCTCAGAATTCATTAGAAGCCACCACAGCCTGCAGCAGCAGCAGACACTGCAGAGGAAACAAGTGACCCAGACATTCTTAGAAAAAGCAGAGAGAAGACATGGATGGCACTGATAAGGCTAATGTCTCCACAGAGGGGTAATTGCACTCTACTGCACACTTGTAAAGGTTTCATCAAAGAGTGCGACCGCTTGGCATAATGCGTTCCTACTTTCTTTATTTAATTAGATGGATTTTTTTGTTGTTTTTGTTTTTAAAGAAGTTCAGTGTGCAGTCTTTCTTTTATCATTTCAGGAAGTTATATGGAGTAGTAGTCCTTCATGTATCAATGCTAAAACGATAGAGAGATCAATTATAGATTTGACGTTTCTACTTCTGAAACATAAATAGTTTACAGCTTCCACAAATCTCATTTTAATATGTATGGGTACTAAGGTAGCAAGGTTATTAATACTGATTAATACTATAATACTGATTTCTTTATTTTCTGTATGTTTTTCACCCTTAAATGTTTCACATCATCAAAGAAATTTAAATATTAGTCAAAGATAACACAGGTAAACACAAACTGCAGTTTCTAAATGAAGCTGTTTATTAAGGGTAAAAAAAATCCAAGCCTACGTGTCCCTGTGTGAAAAAAATGATTGGCCCCTAAACCTAATAACTGGTTTGCCACCCTAAGCAGCAACAACTGCAATCAAGCCTTTTCGATAACTGCCAATGAGTCTTTTACAGCGCTTGTGGAGGAATTTTGGCCCACTCATCTTTGCAGAATCGTTGTAATTCAGCCACATTAATGAAGATGTTTTTTGGCAAATCTGAGACAAGCCTTTATGTTCTCTTCAATGGATACCATTTTTGCAGAGTGTCCTGAACTCTGGCCTTAACTGAAACATGTGAACCCTACGGTTCATTAATGTTGTTTTACTTTCTTTTGTGACCTCCTGGATAGGGATGGGTATCGTTTAGGTTTTATCCGATACCGGTGCCAAACCGGTACTTTTGAAACGGTGCCGGTGCTTAAACGGTGCTCGAACCGGTGCTTAAAGAAAGGAGAACACAAAGTTGGTCCAAAAACCTCTCATGGTCAGCTGTTTTTTTGTAAAAAGATAACAATGTTAGCCTTTTCTGCAGCTATAGGGCATATATGGTATCACTCTTGGCTGGAAGCAGTCCTTAATCAATGGAAAAAACACAAACTTTGTCCAAAAACCTCTCATGTTTAACTGTTTTCCACTTTTTCTTTGGTCATTTTAGCATTTTTGGCCAGGGTGAAGGGGGCATCTGCCATCAAACAAGAAGACAGCCGCATGTAACAACGACGGTGTTTGCTAGTTCACCTTACATGCATTAATTTAATAACGTGGTTAGCCTACTCAACGTAAATTACACACGGACAACATTAAGCTACTCACGCAGAGAAGAACGGCTGCTGCTGCCATCATCACCCGTCATCATTTCTGCTACACTGGCAGGGCTACGGGCCAGGACTCTACTCTTCAGGTTCTTTGGGGATGTTGGTAACTCGGTGCATTTCTCGGCTTTTAAAAAACGCTATGGCACCGGTATGGCACCGGATACCGGTAGCCATCCCTACTCCTGGATAAGTCGTCGATGTGCTTTTGTAGGAATTTTGGTAGTCCAGTCTTTCCTGGAAAGCTTCGCCACTGTTCCAAGTTTTCTCCATTTGTGTGTAATGGCTCTCACTGTGATCCACTGGAGCTCGAAGGCTTAGAAATAGCTTTCCACACCGGTAGATGTCTGTGATTTTGTTTCTCGTGTGTTTCTTTAGATTGTGGCATGATGTGTTGCTTTTAGAGATCTATTATGCTGCTTTCCTTTGTCAGACAGGTTCTATGTAAGTGATTCCTTAATTCAGCAGGTCTGCCAGTAATCATCCCTGAATGTATTTACTGAAACTGAACTCAGATTTTCAAAAAAAAAAGGTTAATCACAGTTAATTCGAAATAGGACCAGGTAGTTTTGGAAACCTTTTCTCCCTTAATGAATGAAATCATCATTTAAAAACTGCATTTAGTATTTCCTCAGGTTATCTTTGTATAATATTAAAATGAGTCTGGTG